TGTTGTGCAACAACCTTTAACGCCGTCAAATTCTGGGACAATTGGACATGTGAATGAGACGTGGTTTGCCTCATGGGCGGGACATTGGAACGCTAATTAAGAGGTTTCTGCCACTCTAAATACCCATTTACTGTATTATGAGATAACGACTTCAAATTGTATTAGGGTCTCACTATATTCACATGGACCTCTAGAATGAAACTGGGTCAATGGACAGCCAGGATCCTTGGTCCCATTCTAGTACAGTTGTCTCAAACCACATGCAAATGCTTCAAAACGATAGTCGGAATCATAGAATAGGCTTGAGGCCAATTTGGTGCTTCAAATTCTTGATAGCCAAGCAACAGTGTACCGCCCAATGGCATGCATGCACTCGCTCCTTCTAGGATACTGCTACTACGACAATGGAATACCAAGAATGTGCTTTAGATATTTTGGGCTCTCTGGGAATCATCATAGACCTTTGAATCTATGACTATGTTATGTGCATTTCTATCTTTTTATGTTTATTCATCTAAATCTTTGGTTGGTTAATTTCCAAACCACAAAACGACTTCTGGGGATCATCTCAAGACTCTAATTGTAGAGTTTCGTGACCCAACGTAGTGGTCCAGAGTTAGGGTTAGGGTTGGACCCCTTACATTTAAACAACATAGGTATTGTTTAATGCAGTTTTATTGGGTAATGTGGCCTTTATTAACATCTATTCAATGTTAATACATTTTAGTTTGCAGGTCTGTTTCTTATTTATCTTAGAAGATTCTGTCCCTCCTGTGATGAACACAAATACGAGGCTGTAAACACTTTTACACATACTTTTTGAATTTATATTAATAGCAAGGGATTATTGTGAGAACCCAGCTCAATCACCGAACATTAAAGGTTCATCATTGGGCTTTGAAATGGGAGAATAAATGCCCCACTTTGATCACGTCAAGAAAATGATGAGCCAAAATAATAAAAACAAATGGGAACAGTGCTAAAAATAAATGTAAGACATCTGGTGCTGAAAGGGAAAAGTTAGGGTTTGATTCAGTTGTTTTTAGAGACTAAATGTGACCTGATAAAACTCTAGCTGAGCACACTATACATTTGTTGTTCACTTCTTCGAGTGTCTCAGTTGGATAAGTGGTCATTTGTTGCAGCCTCGGCTCAGTTTTCAGCTAACAAGAGCAACATAAAAATCAATAGTTTTTTGGTGTAATCATTTGTCTCCACGTTCTCCTTCTCCTGGCGAGCTTTCTGGTCCAACTGAGAAAGATCAAAATCGCCAAGAGAGGAGAGGAGCTGTTCTTTCCACTCTCTCTTGCTCGTGGCGAATGTAAACCAGACTCGTTTTGCATGTCTGAGGAGTTCTTGCAGATCACACGCTCCAGCCTTCGCCTCTCAGTCTTTAATTGTCCGTCAATCTCTGGAGGTCTTTGTGTGTGTGTGTGTGTGTGTGTGTGTGTGTGTGTGTGTGTGTGTGTGTGTGTGTGTGTGTGTGTGTGTGTGTGTGTGTGTGTGTGTGTGTGTGTGTGTTGTGGCTATCACAGAGCTGAGCCCCATCGAGGGATGTTTAGGTTTGATGTCGTAGAGCTGGAGGAGTTACAAACAAGCACACAGGCGAGATGCGATCTGAGATACTTCTGTCATAGACTCCGAACCTCTGAATGACAAATGTTACTTTAATTAAAAAAACGAGGCAAAAACTCGCTTTTAGGGCTAAAACACAAGCTGTTTGTTGAGGGTTTAACACTCGAGAGGCTGAGCTCCAGCCGCCTGACAGCTGCTTTGAATTGGAGGAGCACATTTGCGAAATGTCCATCCCCTTTTTGTTCTGTACCCACTTTGTGGTCAAACCAACTTTAGTTGGGTGTCTAGATGAAGTCATGATAATTGTATTTACACCAACTCTCTCCGCTAACGGCGTGTTGTGAAAACTTTGTCAATCCTCATAACTTTTTGTCCGCATTTCAAATAATGAGATGTAAATATTACATATCGAATGGCCGAAACCGCTCTTAGTGGTGCTCCGACTGCTCAACGGGTGATTTTTTTATTTGAGCATTGACCAAAAATATCTGATTTTCTGCTCCAGTTAAGAGCGTCGTCTTTTTACACGTAACATTTTTGTTCAAATGCGGTTGTCTAGTAGCTTAAAGCTTTTAAGCCAATGTCTCACTTGGCTGCAACTGTTGGTGAAACGCCATGAACAGAATTTGGGAGGAAAAGTTCTTGAATTTCCTTTCAGATTTCATGGGTTTTGTCTTGTTGAAAATCTGCAAGAAATGAAAGAACTTTGCAGGTATTTTTTTACCAAATAGCAAATAATTTTAGGATTGTTCAAAAGCAAATGGTAAATAACTTCTGATAAAATTTGTTTCCACCTGACTGTGTGTTTTTCTTTTCATTAAAGTACTCTACGTGATGTGATTCAGTCTTTATTGTGCATATGTGGTGTACAACAGGGATGAGTCCTCGGTCCTGTTTTTTTGTGTTTTGGTCTTGTATGTGGTTCGTGCCAACGTGCCAAAATCCAACCTGTTCAGAGTGAACATTTTTAAATGTTTTGCAAATATTTGCTGATGACTTAAGTCTTGTGAAACCTAACATCTCCTGAAACATTCATTATGGTTATCTTGAAGATTGTTTGAAAACGGTTCTTAAGTTCCAGGGCCATGTTGTCCAAGTGCTGGAATTCTGCATTTTTTGGAATTCAAGAGGATGTTTGATACCATTATTGGTTTAGTTTCAAAAAAGCAAAGTGTGACACAAATTTGGAGGAGACGGAGACCAAACTGACATACAATTATGACACTTTTCAACTAAAAAGAGAAATTTTCTTTGTAATTGTTCTTGTGCTCGGTGTAATCCAAACAGACATATTAAACGTGTTGCAAAGGTAACACACAAACCAAATCAGGGTTCAAATTACCTTATCATCTCACAAATCTGCTACCATCCAGTTACACACAAGCTTTACAGCTTAGGGCTCCAGAAACAGAAAATGCTTAAAAGGCCTTTTGCCATTTTCGGAGAATTTCTTTGAGTTGTGTTCCTTTGGAGCATGATAAAGGTCATGATTGACTGTAAAATATTATTAAAATAAATTTAATAGTAATTGTATTAATGCCATACTAATATAAGATATGAATGTTAATGTTTTATTCATACATTTCCATTTTGCAACAACGTTTTAGGTAAAATTCAAACTTATCAAGCAAGTCAAGTCATGCAAAACTCATCAAGAAGCTAGTTTTTTTTTCTTTTCTTTGTAATTTTGTCTAAACTTAATGTTTTGGATTCTGGTTGTAATCGTGGATGCAGGTGTAATTTACAAATGCTAAACTTGCGATAATTCAACTGCAGACCGTGTGCTGCTAAATACAGAAGCTCTCTGCATGACCTCCAGCTTATGCAGCATTTAAGGTGAGGAAGCTGCACAAAAATAAAAAGTTTTAAAGGTAAAGAAACGTTTCACATTTTGTTTAAACTTCTTGTTCTATTATTATCTCCTTCTAATTCAGCACAATAAATAACATTTCTATTATTTTATTCATCCTTTTTTCTTATTTGGATGTCATGAATATTGAATCAAGTTATAAAACAGAATAAATACAAGTGTTTGAGTGAGTTTAGCAGCTTTATTTTCATCTTAATGATTTTGTTCCATCTCTAATAACCAAACACGCCTGCATCATCTTACTAGCTGTTAGAGATTCTGTGTTTAACAGACGATTCACCTGGAATTCCTCTGGGTGTGTGTCGAAAACTCATTTTCCTCCCCGATTAGACGCAGACTCATTTTGTTTCTTGGAGAAGTGACAGATGAGTTTGTGCCAACAATCAGAGAATTAACTGCTGGCACACATATTTAAGTTTTTATGGCAGCATGCAGCTGAATGCGTTGGTCCTGCTTCAGTCCGCCTCTTTGACCTGATTGTTGTTGGTTCTATGTGATGCTGAGCAGATTAAATCTGACCCACAGACAGGATGCATGTGTCTTTCATGCCACTCGTGATGATCTCTTTATAAATCCTGCATGTTGGGCTCAAATCAGTATTCTGCTGTGCGATGTGGGTTTCACTCCTACATTATTTTTGTTTGTTTTTCTTACATTTACTCACCTGCTGCTGCACACCCGAGACTCCAGACACCATTTTTAGACGTATTTTCGATAATATTTTATGTTTTCTGCATCTGCAACACACAATCTGTCACTCAACCCTCCTGCTTCCAGGCCTCTGAAGCCACGGATCATGCGGTGGTGAATATTCCTTGTATTGTAACAGGATTTGGGTGGAAGCTGCCGAGCAGAACTGGGCATCGATTCATCACTGGATGTTTCACCACGTCATGTGACTCTCCCTCACAGATCTAAATTAGGCCAATAATCAGGGACGCCTGGCGGCTGAGCTGCTGAATGCACATCATGTACATGCGACAGTGCCCGCGTCCCGAGGCGTGTTCTGCACCGGCATCCTCCTTCTCTTCTGCCGCCGTCACTTCCCAGGATGACGGCAGCAAAAACAAACCAGAGAGGAAGAAACCAAGCTTCAGATCTGGTCCAGCTGTCACCTCTGACCTCCTCACACCTGAACTTTAGCTTTCTCTATTTCACTTTATCACACCTTGTGAATATAAATCATAAACATTAGTTAGGAATAATTAGCAGTTTCAAAATAAAATAAAATTATTTTTAAGTTACAATTTTCCTTGGATTTTTTATTCTTTTTTGGGGATAAAGGGTTGAACTGGATCACATGAGGAGCTTCAGGAGGGTAACGCTGCATGTTTAAGCATTTTCATTCTTCCCACAAGCCTCAAGAGCATCCGGATCAGAACAACACAAGTCACGATTCCACACATGGATGCTCCGATTGCTGTGAAACATTCCTGCAGCGTCTCTGCGTCATTCTTTAATGATTACATGGTTTATTTTTGCACACTGGAGGAAAAAAAATGTCTGGACACAAATAAAATTCAAGTTTTAAACTAAAATAAAACAGAGTAGCACATTTGATGTCAAATATATTTTTATTTAAAGAAGAAAAAATACATTTGGTAAAAAAAAATCTAATTTTACAATGAAACCAAAAGATTATGTTGTCGTTTTAACATGGTTGGTTTTACATCTAGAATTAAACAGCGCGCGCGCACACACGCACGCACCCCCAAACACACCTAACATAAAGCTATATATTCATTAAGGTCCCCCTATAGGTCTCATACTGACTAATCCGTTTTCACGGTGGATGTGCAACCCGTGGAGAAGAGAGGGGGTGCTGCTCTACGTTGTGTGTGCGAGTGTGCGCGCGTGCACGGAAGAGGCACTACAGTTCAAATGTGAGACAAAAAGAGAAATGTGGACGTACGCACGCGCTCAATGACACTAAATTTCAATAATTCACACACAGGTCTGAACACACGCATCTTCCTCCTCCTCCATGTTTAAAAGCATGACTTGACAACAGAAATTCAAATAAAACGAAACTTACCCCAAAACTTTTATTCTGAAAGGTCCTTCAGCCTTCCCCCTCTAAAAATAAATGAAAGAAAAAAGTTTCAAACACGGAGATTTCATTCTAAATCAATATAAACGTTTAATTCCAACAATACTTGCAGGTTGTGTCGCCAGTTTACGCGCCTCCTGATTGGCTCTTTGTAAGTGGGGGAAGGGGAGGGGGGCATCAACCGGTTCAGCCTCTTGATTGATGATTTAATTAGCCATAGAGAGGCGGACTGCAGGAGGACAGGACACCAAATAATACTTTATTTACATAACCAATCAGGGCGCAGCAAAGGTGGAGCTTCCTCCCTCAGTCTGTGTGTGTGTGTGTGTGTGTGTGTGTGTGTGTGTGTGTGTGTGTGTGTGTGTGTGTGTGTGTGTGTGTGTGTGTGTGTGTGTGTGTGTGTGTGTGTTCATCGCTGATGAAATAGGAAATATTCCTTTAATTTTCCTGCTGTCACTGTTTTTTCCCTGTGTGGATTTTCCTAAGAAGTGGACAGTTGTTTTGCTTTATTTCATTTTATTTTTTTTAGCAAATGTGTTTTTATATCGTTTCACAAAACTGGGATTTGATTAGGAATCACCTGATGCGCAGGTGCGTCACAGGTAAGGAATCGGCTGTTAAAATGGGAAATTTACACTCAAATCTCCACGCAAATTCGAAATATACCCATAATAACCCACATAATTAGAATAAATTAGTTTTAAAAGAGCATGTTTAGGTAATTTGTGTTCAAACGAAGCAGAATGTATAATTCTGACTTGTTTTGTTTTTAAGTTTAAAGCGAAAGCGACTCTTTAGACACGCTTCCGGCAGCTAAACACCTCCAAATCTGCTGCTGTTAATTAATAAATAAACTCCAAATAAAACCCGTTTCATCTCAAACCAAACTCTCTCTCCGAACATAAAGCCCATCAAAACAGTATGAAATTTATATAAAAGGATCCTTACATGATCGCAGCCGGCACGTGATGAAGTTTTCTCCCCTTCTGTCCGTGCGCGCTCACACGAGAAAGACGCAAACCCTCAGAAACAGAGACGAGAGTGAGGGCAAAGGAAAGCAGAGGAACGGCGAGGGGGGAGAGAGGGAGTGAGAGGAAGGAAGGGGAAAAAAACCTTCAACCCAGAAGATGCTCACGTTTGACTCTCCTCAATTATCCCCTCCCGTGAAGATAGGTGGCGTGCGTTTCAGGGGGCTTCTCCTTCCTCTGCGCGCCGCGGCGGAGAAAAGGAGGTGGAAAGAAAAAAATGTCATTAGAAGAGGCGTAACACGTCAGTCCCTACCCAGGTTTGTTTCCTGGAGTGGGTGTAAGACATCAGTTGTAAACCTGCCCTAGCAGGAATAGCGGTCCCTCCCTCCTCCCAACTATTTCCTAGGCTTTTATTTCTAAGGCTTTATTATCACCGGTGGAACAGGATCCGCTCACCGACGCGCTCCGGTATCATCACCCCTCGCGACTCCCATCCGTAAGACTCTTCATTTGCGTCCTCTCTTTTTTTTTTTTTTTTTTTTTTTTTTTTTTTTGGAAAACAGCAGGTATGTTGCTAGATTTTTTTTTTTAACAAAAAAATGCATTCTTCCACGCGAATTGTTGGATTTTAAACTTCCGTGCGTGAAAACTTGGAGCGCAACTTTCCGTTACCTGCGCAGGTGGAGAGAGGTGTCACCTTGTTCGAAATTATTTTGTACTTTTTTATTCCTTTAACCATCAGAAATCGAAGCGTCCTGCTCGGTTCTGAAGGGAGTCCCGTTCTGGACGCTCGAGCCGCTTCCCGTCCGCGCTCTTCCTCCTCAGCTTCTATCAGTCCTCAAAGAAAAGACAGAAAACAAAAATCTCTGTATTTTTTTGTTTCTGATCCATTTAAAACATTTTCTCACAGTCCTGGCTGCTTTGGAGAATTTACCCCCCATCTAGGAGAGTTTTGGACGCAGTTTATTAATGCAGACGCGCGTTTATTGGACTTTAAATCAGGGCGAACTTATTCTGCGTTTATTTTGAGCTCGTTTCATTTCAAGCTGCAGACCCGAGTCACAGAACCTGACACACGATTGATCTGGTGACCTGTTTGGTGCCAGAAGCAGAACTAAAAGCGCAAAAACAAGAAAGAAATTGGATTTATTTAGGCAAATTTACTGCGTAAAAAGTTGTATTCTGTTTTTTTATTCTTGAAATAATCTGTTTGTGTTTGTATTCCCGTTTAACGCTTAAACGAGACGCACGCGGATGTGTGTGTTTGATACTTTAACCCGCATCCCTTTTTCTTTTCCTCCTTTTTAATGAACCCGTCCCGTTTTCCCTGCCGCGTCCTGCGCAGCTCCGCTCTAACGCTCCCGTGTCTTTCTGTGTTTCCCGTCAGATATCAAGCTGAAATCAAGGAATCGAGTCCTCCATGCGAGCTGCCATCTGATCCCCCCTCTCTCCAACACACACGCACCCACACACACACACACACACACACACAAACACACACTTATCAATGAGGCAGGAGATCATGGCGGATGGCCCCAGGTGTAAGCGGCGAAAACAAGCCAATCCGAGGCGGAAAAACGGTAAGAAAATAACGGGGCAGCTGTTGGTGGTGGTGGTGGTGAGGGTGAGGGTGTGTGTGCGTGATTGGAAGCCGGGTTTGGAGGCTTGTGCTGCGGATCAGAGCTGTGTGAGAGTCCGGTGGCCGGTGCCGTGCGCTTCAGCAGAGAGAACCGGGACCGGCGGAGATGTGCGCCTTTTTATTCTGGATCTTATTTAATAGAAATCTTTCTCATCAAAGGAGTTTGCTTTGGTATTTTGTGGTTGTGAGAAAGTTGCGTTAGACTATCCGTGTGTGTGTGCGTATGCGTGCGTGCGTGTGCGCGCGTGTGCGTGTGTGTGTGTGTGTGTGAGAGAGAGACAAGTCCTGATTTATAACTTTAATTCAGAGTCGAAGCGTTTTGTCTGATTAAAATCGGGATTTTTGTTGCTTTTCCGGATTAATTTCCAGGATTTTGTTCTTGGTTTAGTTTCTCTCCATTCTTCCTCCTTTTGTAAATTACAAACAAGAAGTTTGTTGTGTTGGGTTAAGGGTAGGGGTAGGGGTAGGGCTGGAGACATAATCAGAGGAACTGCTGCTGCAGGTCTGCAGTGACATTCCCTGGTCCCGTTATTCCCTCATCCTCCATTCCCTCTCTCTCCCTCTTTATGTGTTTTATTTGCTTTAACACCCCCTCCGCCCCACCACCACCTCACAAGTTATTTATCTAGATCAGATTTCATTTATTGATTGCATGAAATCAATAGCAGACAAGCTTTTCTCTTTTACTTTTCTCAGCATTTCCGGATTATTTATTATTAAATAGAATAATAAAACACGTTCAGAGAGGTGGCAGCCTATTCGGCCACCTGTTTCTAAAGGGGGGGGGGGGGGGGGTAGTGAGAGGTAGAGTTAAATGATAAAATAATGTTAGCAAAGCAAATATCATTTTCACACTCTTGACGCTGATGAGGAGTATTTTTATCTCCTGCAGAACCAGAATTAAAGATTTTGTTTTTTTACATCACCCCCCACCCCACACACACACACACACACACACACACACACACACACCCCTTTGGGAATGCAGAAGCTTGGCCACTCTCTCTCCCTCTCCCTCTCTCTCCCCCTCCTCACCCCTGTCTGTCCTCTTCCTGCCTGGCTCGGTGGAAGGATGGGGCGAGATGTGTGCGACGGCCGGCTGACGGTTTCATAAAACTGCTCAGATTTCTTAGACAAAATGTGAAAAAAGCTGCAAAAAAATCTGTTTTTATTTAAAATCACACAAGACAATGTCACCGTTTCCTCCCAGTTAAAGAAAAAAAGTCAGCTTCGTTTTAAAAACGAGCAGAGTGAAAAGTGTTGTGACAAGTTGGCGACTGTTTGGCCTCTGAGGGCGAGCTTTACTCGCGCCGTCGTGTCCTATTTACCCGCAATTCCTTCGGATTCACCCAGAATCTAAAACGGAGATTTTCTCTCCCCAAAAACCAGAAGAAGAATAGAATTTCCTGGTGTGAAACTTGAGCTCAGCAGCGTGAAGCGTTTGAGAGTTTGGCCCCCGCCAGGTGTTGCTTGTCACATCCAGCTGTGAGCGTCCGACAGAAACACACACACCTGTTTCACACACACATCAGCTCCTGTTGATTTACATCAAACTGCAGAAGATTATTTGTCCTTTTCCTCACATGCAAACGCCACCGATTACATAATCTGAAGCAGCAGAAGGAGGACGTCTCTGCAGCAGTTTGAGACATTAAATGTGTGTACAAAAATTGTCCATCTCTATTATATCGTTGTGTCGCACCAAAAGGAAAAATAAAGAAAAGGGGTTCAGGCAAGGTGCTCTCCTCCCCGTCCACCCTCCTCCTCCTTCTCCCAGATTTTCCTTTCTCAAGGTATTTTTTTTGTCCTCATCCCCGAGCGTGATGGGGGAGTTAGGGGGAGAAAAGGAATCACGGAGGAGGAGGAGGGCAGCTTTTCACGGGGCGCTTGCGGACAATTGATTGTCAGCGGTAATGCGTTTCATTTACATGTTTATACCGTCAATAGTGGCAGGGGGTTGTCCGCCGCGCCATTCTCTGCTGCCATTCCCATTCGGGGGTTTCACCTCGCCTTCCTCGTGGCTTTTTTTAAATATAAATCATTCCCGTGTAAGCTGGGAAAAGTGCCCCGCTTCTCATTTTGATTGTCAGAAATGGAACGATGTGCGTAAAAAGTTTGTGTTTGAGAGCGGAAAGCTGGCGTGTTGCTGGTGACTTTCGCCGTTAGAGTGTCACAGCAGACCACGGCGTTCGGCTCTGGTGCAAAAAGAAGCAAACGGAGATTTTTGTGTTTGCGTGTCGTGTCCTCGACCATCCAACAAACCCTCTAGTATGAGCTTTCCGCCAGGAATTATACCAGGAATGTTTGGCTGCAGCATTTGCACACACACACACACACACACACACACACACACACACACACACACGCACACACACACACACGCGCACACACACACACACACACACACACACACACACGCACACATGCATGCACACACACTGCTTTTTCACACTTTGATAAGAGAGATAAAAGCAAATAGCATGGCTTGTGGCACACACACACACACACACACACACACACACACACACACACACACACACACACACACACACACACACACACACACACACACATACTCAGTGATAGTAACTAATGATCATCTGGACAGAAAACTTTCATCCATCCCTCCATTTTCTCAAAAAACAACCTTTTTGAGACCTTATTTCCTGCATGTCTTGTTTTATTATCACTATTATTATTATTATTATTATTATTATTATTATTATTATTAGTGGTAGTAGTAGTATGATGATGATGATGGTGATTCCTCCCTCGACCGCCCTGCTTGTGTGAAGATATTCCTGTGCCTGGCGGCCACAGAACACACACTCGCTGAGGCACCGCGAGCCCGGACCCCTGACACTGCGGGTCTCTGGAATGCCTTAGGTACGATTTCACTTTCGCTCACATCAATGCTGACCTGAATGCCTTTCATATCTGATCCGCCGTGTCTCTCCTGGTAAACATCCCCGGGGGGAGAACAAAGAAAGGAGCTCTTCTTCTTCTCCTTCTCCTTCTTAATCACAATTCAGCCCCTCTCGCCGCCAGCAGCACAGCTACACATTTGCATTCAGCATCAGAAAAAAGGCCCGAGATGAAAGGGGGGGGGGGGGGGGGTAGAAAGAAGAAGGCATGGATAGAGGGAGAGAAGAAGAAGAAGAAGAAGAAGAAAATGGAGGTGGGTGGGTGCTGGAGAGACATAACTGGGGTGTTTGTGGTTGTTTGTTGGCCGTCCCCTGGTTACGAGCCGTTTATAGCCTCCCTGCTCTGCTCTGGCAGGGACCTCCTGACCGGCAGATAGTGTTACGGGATGCCCACACTATTCGTGGACTCGCGCTCTTCAGACGAAGAAGAGCTGAAACGTGTTTAAAAACCCCGCGAGCAGATAGGCATCAGGAGCAGGTGTCATCTCCGTGAAAGCTCCCACATTTGGACCCCGATTGTCCGATCGGGATCCTCATTGAGATATCTTCATCATCTGCATTCCCAGGCGGGATGTATGCAAATCTTGAGCAAAGATGTGTGTGTGTGTGTGTGTGTGTGTGTGTGTAGGGGTGGGGTGGGGGGGGGGCATCATGTGATATGGATTCTTTCTTCTCTTTCTGTTTCTCACCCAGAACTTTTTTCTTTCTTCTCTTTTTTGAGGGATTATCGGTACACCTTCCCTCCCTCCTCCTCCTCGGCCAAGCTGCGCGGGATTTAGGCAGATTTACTTCAGCAAACACCTTTGGACACCGAGGGAGGGAGGGGGGTAGGGGTCTGTTTGCAAAAAGGGGCCTTTTGTTCGGAGGGGTTCGGGATAAAGCCTTGCCAGGCAGCTGTGATATTAACCCGTGCTGCTATCGGAGGGGGTTAACTCTTAATAATAATAAGAAGAAGAAGAAGAAGAAGAAGAAGAACCTGCCCGAGCGTTTTTACGTTCTCGTAAGGATGCACCGGTTTGTAGAAGTCACGCTGCAACTTGCCAAGGAAGGATGGGAGTAGCGGCCGGGATCGGTGGCCTGACTAACGCCGAAGCATGAATCAGACGCCGGCGCGCCAACATCGACTTCCCTTTATGTTTAAACCGCAATAATGAGGCGTTGCCCAAAACGACGTGGCGACACGGGCCCTCCTAATCTTCTACATTCTGTTTGTGTTTGTCGTGCAGGGGCGTGAAAGTCATGGGCTCTGTTTTTCTCATGGGGGGGGGGGGGGGGGGGTCTTCACCTCCGTTCTGTACAGTTGCAGTTTTCATGCCTTCTTGCTTGTTTCTCTTTGACAAGAAAAGGAAAGGAAGGAAGAAAGAAAGAAAGCAAACACAGAAATTGAAACTTCACTGGTCCGGGAAATAATTGCATGCATGTGGACTTTTCATTTTACGTGTGTACACTCCTAAGCCGGAATGTTTTATGCATTGCGTAGGAGGAGGATGCTTTTTCAGAAAAAAAAGGAAAAGAAAAATCATGCCTCATTTGAGTCCTTCTCAAGTGAAAATGCAAAGTCTTTATTTGGCCCATCCGCTCCGTCTCCCGTCCTGCTGTTTGCACTTATTCAGTTGCGGCGCCGCACGTCTCGCCTGTGATTTTCGACGTTTTTCCTGCAAGTCGACTTTTTCCCATTTGCGAGGGAGTCTGGGCGCGACAAGCGACAGGTTGCTGAGCAGGTGTAAACTAACATTCAGATTTCATAATTAAATGATGACAACGGTAAAGTGGGGGGGGGGGCAGGAGAAAAACAACTTTACAAACACCTTTTCGTTCCAAATGACGTGCACGCCTTTGTCTGGAAGAGGAGTTCAGAAGGCAGCTGTTCTACAAAATACATGATTATTTCTGCCTCTTAGAGTGTGCCGACTCTCTCTCTCTGGCATTTTTAGGGGTTTATTTTTTATCTGCTGTGCGTTTTTTCTGCAAAATCAATCAAAATAGAGAAGAAATCCACCTTTTAACGGGAAGTA